ATGACGATATCAAACTCGGAATACGAAAGTTTCTGTACGGAAAGATATTTTTTTCTTTTACGTTATTCCCTATCTTTAAGTATTAATTGCAATGTACATTATTTGGCACATAACTATTTCAAAGAATGAAGCGCTTCGTGCCATGAACCGACATCAATGAGATAATAATAGTAATCGGGCGTTAGCGATACGGTAGTATTTATAATGTGGGAATTGTGCAATATATTATAATGCATACAAACGTACCTGTGTGCGCTACTGATTTACTAAGAACACGCGAAAGTTTTTTTGGTGTTAATAAATTCTTTCGTCGTTTTCGAAAAAGTAGTAGTAAGCAAAGCACATTTGTTGCTCTGCGAATGTAGCTATGAAAAATCAGCCAAATCTCCACACTTCAGAAAGGTACCTTATAAATCATAGTACTTAAGTCCTTTTAATCAATTTAATGTAACTACTTATATACTGCATTAATATAAGCTAATGAAATAAGAAATTTTTTATACAAATTAGGCTTGTATTATTTTGTGCCTCAAATTTTTATGTAAATCAGTTATTTTTCTCAAAAATATAAATATTTTCATTTTGTACTTTTTATCGATGAAAACTTTTGGTAGTTGTATTTTGTTTATTGTTTTCCCTAAAAATCGATTACTCTGTAAAATTTTGTGGTATACTTTACTAATACAAGTATTTCTTTTAAATGTATGATAATATGTTTATTTAAATAAATATAGATGCATGTAAAAGTTATTCAAAAGTAGAAAGCTATATAGTAGTGGTTATAAATACTATATATTTATACATAAAACATTAACCGCTAAAACATAGTTTTCTACTTTGATCTATATTTTTGGTTTTTAATGCTCTTTGATACAACTTTCTCACGCAAAATTTTGAAACGTGATTTTTTAAAATAAAATTTCTAGAATATGACTTGAATATACGGCGCATTATAAAAGTTTTAAATAATATAAAATATAAAACATATGAAACATTAAAAATTTTATAGTACATGTTATTAAATTAATTTGACTTCAATTAAAGTACTGTTCAATTTTCGCCCAGTTAATCATTAAGATGAAGAAATTACAAACAAGAATTAATGACAAGAAAATTAAATTCTCTTTAATTAAAAACATGCTATGTTAAAAATTAAAAAAAAACTTGGGTAAATTACTTCAAACATTATTACTAGGAAAGGTCATTTCTGAAATGATTAGAGAAGCCGCAGTTTAAAAGGCAGTTCCAGGATATCCTGTATAGCATATTACATGGACAAGGTAGGTATCATCTGGTTACGGAAAAAAGCCGGTAAATGCATGTTAGACTGTGAGACTTACTTGTTAACTTTTCCTAATAATCATACCACATATACGTGCGGTTATATGTACAAGTAAAGTAAAAGTTTTTGCCTTAACAGAAATTGTTATCGATCCACGCATACCGAGCGGCTAACGAGCTCTATTACTCATCTACTCGATACGGACCGATAAGGCGATCATTCGCGAATGCCGATGTGCGTAAGAAAAGTACAACAATCCTAAATTATTAATATAAGAGATACTACCGCGACGCGCGGGCATGTCTAGAGATACGCATCGATGTCGACCGATGCTGTTGAACCGCAATTAACGCTAATTGTCTGGCAGGCGCGTAAGAAAAAAGATCTTAAGCTCGCTCCAGCTATTGTTAATTCCACGTTTTCACAACGGACAGGCTCCGATATCTGCGTTGCATCTACGGCAATTGCGGCACGGCAATTAGGCGCGAGGCATGAAACTGCTGCTGAACGCTGAACGCACGGGCACGAGGCACGAGCGACTCCGCACGCAGGGAGGAGATCGGCTCGTGTTCATTACACACGGACGTGCACCTTCGTTTCCACGGCGCGCGTCGGGAGGAGTATAGGCGCATCGGGCATAATGCGTGTGTTCTAGAGCGCATAAAACTACGGCGGAAAAAGTACTGACGAGAGAATACTCGGGCTCGATCCAGTCAATCGGAGACGATGAGAACCGGAGGCTGCAAAGCGCCGGAAGTGGTATACACTTGAATCGAAGCGATTCCCAATGTTAGACAAAACAATGCTATTCAAGGGAGAAATCCTCGGATCTCTCTTATTTATTTGTTTACGACCGGAGCCAATTATCTCGCCGGTTACAAATAAATATCTCGCGAGTGCATTTCGCAAAATCGCGATTGCCCTCCTTCAGTTCGTTACAAGAGTCGCGACTGGTGTCCCTCGGGCGAACTTGAAATAAAGCGATTTCGTTTCCAGTCGAGAGCATTTTGTGAAACGCACGTAGCGAGTACGACATCTCTCCGTTTCCGTACAATGGCGATCCCGCTGCTCGAATTCCATAGTAATGACTAGAGACCGCGTCGCATGATACGCCGGACAATACTTATCCAGGCGCACTCGCGTGTCGCAAATGAAAGTTATCTTCTGCGGCTGTGTGGTGTATAAGATAATATTTAGAACGATATTTTTCACTTGGCCGCCAGACTGTATAAAGAAAATCGCGTATCTACTATGTGGCTCAGTTCTCGCGTGGAAGCTCACCACGCGCGGTCCTCGAGATTACGAGGCGAGGATACGGGAACGAATGGTCGTGATCAATGTGTACGCGTAGTACAGTGTGGCGCACGGATCCTTTTCGTTTAATGTTTGATCTGGAGGAACCTTAAAAAAGTCAAAACTTCGACGAAAATGATTTTTTATTATGTAAGTACTTAGATCGGAGTACTTTGTGAAAGTGCGAAGTTTTGTGCGGTGAGAGACAAAATTCATTATTTATTCTCTTGTGTGGATTAATGGAAAAGGATTCGGTATATTAACAATTTTGTATACATTAATAATGTGGAATATTAAATACAATGTTGCATTATATGCTCCGAATTTGAGTGACAAATTTTTCATATGCATGTGAAATAGTGTGAAATTCTTTCTAAGAAAATATAGATATAATATATTGTATTTCTCTCTATTTTTTTCTCTCTCTCTTTCTCTCTCTCATAATTATCAAAATATACATATAGAGAAAAAGAATATATCAAACTTATAACTCTTCTCTTTTTATTTCTTTTTTTTAAGCAATTTAAACGTTTAACTTTTCGTTGTAAATCCTTTTATTTAATTCGTATTCTCTATAGATTTTTTGGCAGTAAAGTTGTATTATGAAATTGATAAAAAATTAATAAATATTAACAAATTGCAATGAATAATACTTTTTAACTGTACATATAACTTTCTTTTCTCCATCTCAGCTATATCTATGTATATTTATGATATATGTGCTATATATTTTTAATGCTTTATATTTTTTTATAATATATGTAAAAACATAATTTTATTTTTACCGTAAACTAAAATAACATGAGACTAAAATACTTTGTACGTAAAACATATAAGAGGAAAGTTCCCTATTATGAGATACCACATCTATTTAACGTGATTGCTGGAAGTTTATGTGCAGAATTGAAAAATGTAGTAGGCGAGTGCACGCACGATCGAATAATGAATTTTCCACTAAACAGATTTTACTCTAAGGGCAATAAGTCCATGATGGAACCAACAGATAGAACCTATTAGTTTAGCAGAAACCTCGCTATCGCATATTAGGAGCCTATCTCAATAGGGAACTTTTCTCTATTATAAAACACATTATTTTATTTACTTTTATTTTACATTATTAAGATATTTTAATTATTTTTTATTTTATTATTATATTATATATTAGTCTGTGTATTTTAAATTTTTAATTTTTTTTAATCATCATTCTGCTATAAAAATGAATTGATTTTAAAAATATTTTGTACTAAATGCACAACATAAATATATTTTTTTAAATTATTTACATAAAAGTCGCTATTTAATAAAGTCTACATAAAAACAATATTATACAGAGATTGCACCTTTTTCTTGTGTGCTTTAATACTTTAATGCACATATTGTTTAATACAATAATAAAAAATAAAATGTAAAATTATGCAAATGCTATAAATTAGAGACAAATTACTACGCAAACACTATCTTTAAATGCTTTTGAAATCTGATCGACAAGACTGCTTTTAAATAAAGACATGAATATTAACGATGTTATATTTCAATCGACAACTTCGACCGACTTGTTTAACGATAGGCATAAAGAATAGTTTAAATTGGCTCTGTTTTCTCCGCAATTACTTTTCACCGACACTCTCTAAACGGATAGGCTATGTGTTAGTTGCTCGGATTTCTGCATTTTACAAAAGAAAAGTCTTTTATACGATTGCATTCCAAGCTTTGAAAAAATTTTTATACTTGCCGTTCAAAATCATTACACTAACGATGACATTAGTATAGGAGTCCGTCATTGTCAAATAACAATTCGAATGACCATGAATCGGTGAGAAAGTCCACGAACGATCTGCTTCCGTGCACATCCAGTCCTTATTTCCATTACACACGCTCGCATTTTACTTTTCCAGTGTGTCTGCTTTTCTTTTCTAGGTCATCTCCTTGACGAAACAGCAATTAACACTGCTTACTATCATGTAGCTGTCCAAACTTTGCAATGCATATATGCTACTTTCTTCTTTAGCGAGACTTACGATCAAAACTATATATGGGATGTATCTTTTAGATCTCATACTTTTATAATAACTTGATTTCTTCGATGTTTATCGCCAGTTTAATGATAATTATGTTATAATTATATCGCACATGCACGTCTTGTAATAAATCCTTTATTTTTAATCGACAAATTAATACATGTTTTATACAAATTTTATATAAGATTTTGTCTTTTATATTGTCTCAAGTACATTCCTTTAAATACATATATATACACACTTATACAATTTTTATTTCACATATTTTATTTTGTATCAAGTGTTGACACATTGTTACTTAAATTTATTAAATTTATTATTAATTATTTGATTGCTCAGACAAATTGCTAATGCTCTCAAGTTTCAATTTAATAGCGCAATTTAATAGAGTTTCTCAACTTTCGTAGATGATATTGCTGTTCCTCAGCTGGCCGCAAACGAGATGCACAGAGACCGCCGACGTAAAGGGTGAAGAGATCTTAGATCAACTTGCAACCGCCTCGGAGACTGTGGTACACGCTGTAAAGCAGAATGAAGACTCGAAGGATCCTGAAGAACAGCCCTCGAGCGTATCATCGTCGTTAAACGCAACCGTACTCTATGAAAATTCCAATGGCTTCGTGCCTATGGTACCGTCCGCCTTACAGTCCGTCACGTACGACGAATCTGACTCGTCGCAGACCAATGACGACGAACAACAAGACAGCACCGCAACGATTGCCGTAAGTGCTCAAGACAGCTCCAATGCGAGGGCGAGAAAGATGGAAGAGGACTTAGCATACTCCTCGGAAGCGAGGATCTTCTTGAGTCTGCCTAGATCACTGACGAATCGCAGGTCTTTCGATTTCCAGGACGAGCGGCTGAATGAGTTCGAGCTGCTGAAGGTGAACAACGACACCCCCGCGGTGGCCAATTACCAGGACTTTTACGAGAACGTGCGCAGCACGGTGAGCACCGAGACCGACGGTGAGTCCAGTAAACCTTCCTCGAGGCGTCCAAACGGCGATAGAGGGAAGAGGCTCGAGAACCACACTCGCAATTACGGTTGGCAGTCGCAGCAACAAGGCAACAACGGGGAGGATATCTATGCTCAGTTCTACGCGTCATACAACAACGCCCAGGATACGAAAAAAACTGTTTACGAGCAGGAGAAAGTCGCCGGTAATTATCAGCAGCAGAACACCGCGAATTACAACGGGCTGAGCGCGGCCAAGCAGAATGCAGCAGCGGACCCGTCCTCATCAAGGACGAATTACGAGGCCAACGAACTCGGGCATAGCGGAACTTATAACGATGCGGCGGAATCGCCGAGGACACGCCATAGATTCATGAAGCCGGTCGTAGTCGCCGAGCCGAGCAACCACAAGGTAGACGTGAAGTTCAGCAGCCAGCTGCGAAACAGCGAGTCGGATAACGATGACAAAACCTTGAAAAACCTGGACTCTTCTAGCTTGGAGACCTCGAATCACTACGATCCTTATAACAGTAACAACAGGCAGCGTAGTTATCACCGCACGGAGGATTCCAGAGATCTCTCAAACGAGAGCACAGAATACTCCGATTATATCGACCGGCCGAGACCGAGAGTCGCGCAAAAAAATCGGAGACGTCCTTCTTATCCTGATTCTTCCAGAAAACTTCCTAAAGAACATCGAGGCACGTTGAACGAGAGCGCAGAGGAGGATAAATATACGTACAACTCTGCGAGACTGAAGTCACAGCGGCACAGAACGAAGGCAAATCCATGGCTCGATGATCCCAGCGCGAATCATAGCGACGAGAGCGTCGAAGACATCAGACACGACTCTATAAGAAACAGCGGTAGCACGAAAACGAAGAGCACCAATGCCCAACGTGGATCCAGGTTGAAGAATACTAACACGTGGAATCAGGTATCACCGAATCTCGAGATCTCTCATTCCAGTGGGATCCAGTTGGATCAGTTGGAGAAGCCGAATTACGTTGTCAATCTTGTGCCCGTGGCAAACTTCGACCACGCGACCGCGTTAGGTGGCAGCCAGGGTTTCGACGTGTCCAACGCGATGCTGCAGAATCTCGCCACCGTCGCGCCGATCGGCGCCTTCAGCACGCCTCAGTCTGTTCTCGCTCAGAATTTAGCGAAGAACCTGGTCTCCACGCCGGTGCCCGATATCATCGTCGGCCAGAACACCTTCCAAAATCCCGTGCACGCGGTTCTGCTCTCCCATCCGAGCGATCAAAATAAGATCACGGATACCCTGAGAGCGACCTACGTTCCGAGCACTATGACACCTGTATTCGCCTTCACGCCCGGGCTGCAGAGCGTGAGTGTTCAGGGCAACGTAACGCCGCGAACGACCTTCACCGTGGTGCCGCAGTCGACCATTCAGACGTATCCGAGTTTTCTACAGCCAACGCAGATCCAGGTGAATACCCACGGATTGCAGGGCCAGAATTTGATAAATCACGGTAACTTGCAGGGTCTGCCGACAACGCCCACGCTGTTGTCCAGCCCGGGGGCGCCGGAGAACAGGGCCAATCTAGAAACGCAGAGCAAGAAGAACGCGTATCCCACTGCCGGCGCAAACTTCCTTGCTACCGCGACTTTAGCCGTTGATCAGAATGGACGGAAGCAAGCGGCTAATGTTAACCCGTATTTCGTGCAGAATCAGAATACGCAGAATTTGCAACAACTGCAAGCTCAAATGAACAAACAGCTGGCGAAGGGCGGCAGACAGCCCGGTATTGTGTTGCAGGCCGCTGAAAGCGTGACTAGTCATTCGATCAACAATGCGCTTGGAGCAGCTCATCTTCCGAACGTAGGCGCGAAGAATGTAGAGATTGTGAATCCGAACCTTAAATCGAGTCTTTTTAACACGAATCAGGCGATACACTATCCGACTACAGTTGTGACGACGCCCATTCCGATTTTCAGCACAATCGCCTCAGCTACTCCGCAAACTGCGCTAGGCCTGCAGAATTACGTAAATTCTCTGACAGAGTCCGGAGCCAAGGGTAAAGACCGACCAGTGTTCAATCCAATTAATTTTGTTCCTAACATTGACGTTATAAAAAATCAGAACGCTCTTAACAGTAAATTGCCAATCAACGAGCCTCTTCAGTCTGGTTTGAATCTGGTGCCCGTCATGCCCGGCGGAAACTTCTTCAAACCGTTTTCAGGTCAAAGCGAGCTGCTCATGAAGCCGAAGCTTGCATCGGACTTGCAGAAATACGCGGAGGAAATGTTCAAGGAATCCCTGAAGACGATGTACAACTCGCAGAAGTGGAACAACGACAGAAGGCCGGGAGATGGTCAAAATGAAGCAAGCGACTTGGCCAAACTGAGACTCGAACTGCAAAAATTAAGGAGTTCTTTGACGGACGCGAAGTATAGAGATCTTCTCGAAGCGGATCAGAGCGAGAACAGCATACGGACAGCAGACGCGCCCAGATCTAAAAAGAAACGGCTGCTACTAGAGACCTTGGAACATTTGCTGAAAACGCGAGGATCCGCGGGACCGATACATATCTATCACGGCGAAGTTAAACCGGGTCGCAAACCTAAATTCGGAGATTCGAGCTATGCTGGGAGTTCCAACTACGAATTCAACGACGACAGCCATTTGGAATTTCTCACGCCACCCAGGCCGGATTCATTCCGCTCGAAAGGTCGTTTCCACGATAAACCGTTGAAGAAACGACCAGGCTCGAGATTCAAGAACGGCCCGAGAAAATTAGTGAGGCCAGGCAGTTCGTTTAGAACCGGTGGGATGGAAACGTCCGCTAGCAACGTAGAAATGTACATGGACGGAACGCGTTACCGTAAGTCGCCCGTAGATTTCGATTCTGAAAGCTTCGACTACGATTTTGGACACCGATCGTTCCGTGATTTATATCCAACGTTCACCACGCCGACACCGGAAGTCTTCGGCAAGATGTTAAGGGAGATCGAGAATAACAAGTCCTACGACATCAACCATCCCAGGATGCACAATCTTATGGGTTTACTAATGAAGAACAAACAGTTGCCGAGCAGAGGCCCGCCGAATTATTTTCACAACAAAAATCAGTTAAGGCAATTCTTCGAGAGGGACAGGCGTCAGCGGCAGCAGCAGTTATACGCTGATTCCTTAAGAGACTACATGGACCTTAAGAGATCCGACGTTGCGTCGCAACCTGTTTCGGTTACCAACGGAAATGTCTTTTCGGGGAACGGCACCGCGTGAATTTGTAATCAAAAGTACAAGTAAGATGTCGATCACATGACGCGTTCGTTGGGTCTGCGCGTGAAATCGTAAATTCGCTCGCGAAAGGACTAGAGTTAATTAGATAAGTACGTTTTTGCTCCGCGGTAACGGACGATTTTCCGTCCGTTTTGTGTATTAACGAATGCAATATCACCCGAGTATCGAGCTGCGCTGTTCGCACTAACAGTAAGTGTTTGATTATAGTACGATTATAGTACGATTATAGTACGTTTGATACGAAAATTGTAAAATCGTTAGTATGGCATGCGCTCGCACGGAGTGTTCGGTTCGAGGGGAAAGGAAATTCATCGGTCATCATTATAAAAGGCTGACAAGTATTGTATGTACATATTAAGTTAAACAAGAAATACATACGTCTTGTAATTTGTACGGCGTTTGTTACGCCTGCCAAATCCTACCTGTTTTCTCTTCTCGTAGATTTTCTCTTTTCTCTTTCACCTATATATATCTGTGTTCAAGAACACGATAAATAGAACTGGAAACTAGACAGACTTTTTCTGTACTGAGGAAAAATGCAGAGAATTTTGTAAAAGGTAAGTATTAGTAATGTTTTTTTATTTAACTAAATAGATGTAATTATATACTAGTTAACTTAGATACATTATTCTTTTATTATTTATCTAATATATCTTTAATCTATAGTCGTATTGCGATAAATAATATTAATATCTTTTAATAAAATGTGTTTTTTTTATTAGATAAAACACATGATAATAAGTATATTTATTTTTAATATTTATGCAAAAAGAAATGCAAGATCATGCTCTGGAAATTGTTGATTTTAATAAAAATGCGATATGTGTCAAATTTTTACATCAACATTCTAAAGGCGAGATGTTTTCATGGCTGCATTAATATTCATAGCATCCATATTCTTTTCAAGCTCTTCGTGACAAAATCGGATCAGGATTTTAATCTTTATCATAAAAGCAATAAACGTAAACCAATAAAAAAGTTTCATTATCTAGCAGGTACCATTCTTTTTAAAAACTGAAAAAGTTTCATTATAATCTCCGATGTTATAATACTTTTATTTAGTAAGATGGTAAGATAGATTTATTAAAAACATTAATTAAAAGAATTTTGCGTTAAAAAATTTAAATAATTCAATATTTTTATAAAATTAATATATAATTTTTGTCACATATTTGTGTTATTACCAATTAAGATTAAAATTCATGAACACTATTTTACATAAAAAGTATTAAATAATACAAGAAGAATGTTTCTCACAATTGAAATTAAAATCAGTCTTAAATGATTACTAACTTCAATGAATAATTGTTTTAAAATAATTGATTATTTAAAAAATAACAAACAACTTAAGAAATCGTAAATTAGTATAATTGCAATTTAAAGCAAATATTAAATTATATTAAAATTGATTATTAACAAATAAATCAGCAGTATGGCGAAAATATATATAACTGCATTCTTTCCAGTTGGTTAGTATAATAATTCAACCGTATCCCAGAGGGAAGAGACGTTCACCTCGCAGTATGTAACAATCATTAGCTTGAAGATTTACTCAATGAAGCCTGTATACATAAATCCATTGGAGCATTTTTATTGTGCAACAGCCACTTTCTCGTAAAATAACTTGAGAATTAGGCAGAAATTAGTTTGGGATCAACGTTAATTCACAAAACTATTATGCTGGATATGCTCGCGCAAGTTTTCTTAGAATAACGGCTACTAAAGGAAATAATCATTTTTCTGGTAAATGGTACAGTTATTATTACCTGTACAAGATAGTCAGTAGACATTGAAAAAATATATAATTATTCAATAATTTTATATCGTTATCCCATTTATATTTTTTAAACTCTGCATGATAAATATTTTAATATATTAAAAATATTTTCTATTATTATTATTTACTAATTTTATTTTTATTAATTAATTAAACGAGAAATCAAATTTAACCAAATTCGCAGATTTCACATTTACGATAATAAGACTCAACCGTTTAACGATCACGTTGCATTACAACTTGCATGATGATGATATAAATAACAGATCACAAAAGAGAGAGAAGTGTAAGTTAATAAAAAGATAGATCAATGGTTATGATTATGGCTTCACTGATCAGGGAGAAGCGAGGTGATTTGACTCGGTTTTTCTCGATACGCTTTTTACAAAGTTTAGGAAAGTCTAACCCATTCTGTTGTCTCGCATCAGTAAACGCCGAATATAAAAGATGAGAGAATGTCGGTCGCAGCCAGTTAACGTTAAACTTTGGTCTCTGCTCGTACCGAACTGTACGAGTACCATGTTGGTACGTGTTTCTCCAGTTTCTCAATTATTTTAAACAATGAACGCTTACCGCGCGTCGATCGTTTATGTTTATGTGTAATATTGTAACAGTGATTTACTCCAAATTTACTACAAATGTGATTTGTTTTATTCCTTCGATATATGTTGCAATGTGTGCTATCATATAGATCTTTATTATATATTTATAATTACCGTGTATTAATAATATTCACGATTTTTGAGTTAAAAGCGTATAAAGTTTTAATGCCACATTTTCTAAATTATTTATTCAAATCGCATACAATTTACATACGTCATCTTAAACTTATTGTTCAGATCTGCGGATTAATCATGCAAGTTATCATGCAATATAATATTTACATTCTTAATTAACATTTTTTTCATATCAAACATAATCCGATGTCTAAAACGCATGTGCGCTGAATACGTTCCAGATCATAAACATCATTCTCTTTACGTCTGGGATATGTTTTGCCACGAACGTCGTGCCATCGACTCGCGCTTCCGTCACGTCTATCAAATCGAAACGCGTAGTCGTAGATCCCGGCCACAATATCCGCAATAATCAGGAGCAATTCAGAGACACTCAAACTACGCCGAGAATCCCGTCGCCTCAGGATATTAACTTGAGATCAGCCCCTCGTTATGGAAACGCCAAGGCGACGGACGCTCAGAGAGTGCCTTATACGAATCACGGGCCTGGCTCTCACGCGTATGGCAGCGTGCCAGAGCGGCCGCTTTCCTACGTTTCGTCCCCCGTCTACCAGATCAAGCCTGAGCAGAGTCGGAGCAATCTGCTGGCTCCGTATTTCGGCATATTGAATAATCCCGATGCGTACAAGGCTGCGAGGAGCGTCGAGAAACCGCCAGACGCGCCGAAATCGATCGTGTCGCAGTCGCTCCAGAAACTGCAAGGCATCTACTCGCCTGGCTACAATGCATTTTATCAGGCCAAGCCGATTGAATTAGCCAGTTTTTCCGACTTCGAGTATCCCTCGTTCACCAATATCAATAAACTTATCTCCCAGAGCGCTTCTTCTTCTGCCGTACAGGCACCGGTGTATAAAACGAGCTATCCTCTATCAAAAATTACCGATTACTCGCAAGTGTACGCGCCGAGCATTCCCGCGGTGTCAAGCATCACCCAGTTGCCGGGCAAAACAACTCAGAACCCTAAGCAGAAGGACGAGGTTACCGTAGACGTGAACGGTAAGAAAATTTCGGTTCCGGTAATTCAACTTCAGAGTAATCTGGACTTCTCCAGTCCAGGAGTTTTGCCCGCCTTCGATAGTCAGCCGTTTCTACTAAGCTCGAACTATCCGATCGAGTCGGATGTGGGTTTTAAGTTTGGAACCGGGCCAAAATTCAACATGGCACTTCAATCAAGTAACGTTTCGCCGTTTTCCTCGCCTCTGTCGAGCTTCCAAGGTCAAATTGTGCCGATCCAGACGGCCAACGGTAGCCCGCAATTTCCGCTGTACAAAGGCGCCAGCATAGAGGCTCACCCTGTTACTAGTAATGTTCCTAAAGCGCAAGGCAATTACGAATCCCTTTATAGTCAACCACAATTGCACTTTGACAAGGAACATAATGGAAACGTGCTGCCAGTTAACGCGCGACAAAATACCGCTCATCCTTCTGTTTCAACGCAAGGCATTCTGAACGATGTAGAGATTATCAATAAGAAAAATCCACAGCCGCATACACCCCAACCTGATGATGATGATGATAATGATGATGAAGACAGGGACGATGAAAGTTTGTATTAGCTTGCAAATTACATGTTTAATCATAAAAAAATGTAATTAAGTAGAATACAAAAAATAATAAAATTTTACTTTATTTAAAATTTTAAAATAAAAAAGTATTAGAAAATATCGCATTTATTAATATGCTTGCAGATGTAATAACAAACTAGTGTTTTTACTATTCAACTTAAAATAATAAAATAGGTTTGAAATGAATATTTATACTAAAAATATTATTTCTAGGATACCAAAATCCGGATAAGGAAGATGATCACAGTTCCGAAGCTGACGAGGATGAGCGTCAACCAGGAAAGTATTTCAAAGAGTCACCGTTGGAGAGTGACTTTAAGCCTTCAACGTCTTATCCTTTCAAACAGTACGACGAGGTGTTTGGGAAGCATAGAGCACAATCTGATGAGGACGAGGATAAACCGTACTCCAGCTATAAGAATTATTCATCGGACGACGACGAAGAGGAAGAAGACCCGTCATCAGAGTACCGTGCTGAATCCTCAAAACCATCGCACGACTCGTACGAAGAAGAAGAAGATGAGGATGAAGAGGAGGAAGAAAGCCGTAAGCAGGAGAAACGCAAGGAAGCCAATGAGAGTTCTGACGAGATACAACCAAAACGATCCAAGTATTACCAGAAAGACTTTGAGCGGGAATTTGAAGAATCTTACAGGGAAGAGCTACCGAAACAAGGTACACAGAACTGACAAATCGTGTGCACGTAAACAATTTAGGCAGAATTACATATTTATAATGATTTTATCTAAAAACTTTCAGTGTTACATGTATATTATTAGACAATTCTGTTTAAGAAATAGCTTTAGCCCTGAAAATTTCGTGACTTTAAAATAATAATGTTATACGAGAAGAGATAAATTATTTGATTTATAGAGATTTGTAAATTAAATTATGTTTGTTAAGGGGATCCTAAAGTGAAGGCTGAACTTCCTCGACGTTGGTAATGTCAACATTTCTAATTCTGTTTTCTTGTCATATATCTATATCTGTCCTTGTCTAACGAGAGGCATCTGTCTTTGTTCGATTACTGCGCCATCTCTTGCCACACGCAATATTGCTTATCCTGTCAACCTGAATGTGCTTTTGCACATATAAAAGTTATATAAAGTAATCTTTTTTTCTAGATTTTCAATCTTAGATCTAATTGCACGATATTGTTCTTAAATGTTGTCCCTAGGTCATGCCGGTCTAATTTTGTGGATATTTATCGTGGAATTTTTGTACAAAGCAAATATTGTCGTCACGTATACCAAAAATTAACAAAAATATTAATTTTTTTTCGTTTTCGATATAAATTTGACCACCATGACCTAGATTTTGATGCGTACTTTAATTCTAGACAAGAATTTTGCATTTCTATAAAGTCAATTAAAAGATTAGTGCTAAGAAAAAAAGCCGGTATTACAGACGGCTTTAGGATCCCCTTAATTGAAATAATAATCTAATATATTTAGTCTGTAATAAAAGTAATTAAATTAACATTAACACTTGCAGAATACCCGCACGTGAAAGAAGTGCCAGAAATAGACAGTTATATTAGCCCGAGTCCTTCTAAACGGCAAAAGAATAGTAATCAATCTCGCGTAAAACATGGGAAACCCAAAGAGTCGAGAAGTCAAGAATCACGCATTTCCCGAAAAAATCGTAAAGTACCAAAGACGGATTTCGGAGACAGCACAGCTTTCAGTTCGGACATCTTCGCTAAAACGACACCCAAAGTGATCTACGAGGAGTTCTTTGGATACAAAAAGCCCAGGACCAAAAAATATTCTAAGCGCGCGAAAACCGAGAAATTTTCACCCACTAAGAAAACACCGAAGGAAGACGACTATCCTCATGCTGCTAAATATTACAAATTCAAGAAGCCCCAGACCAGCAGCGAACTTACCTCCGAAGATTCGTATCCGTATTTCTCCGAGAGAAACTGGAAATTAAATAAAAATTCCTCACCTGAGGAAACGGTTACTAAATCGAACGTGAAACAATTGTCAGATCTTGATGACGTAACTTCTTTTTATAGGTCGGGTATATTGAGCGGTCAGGTGCGTTCTCTCACAAACACAGAAATTTTTCGTGACCTGACGGGAATCTAAGCGATGACCAAAAATATTAAATTAAGCAACGTTGCGTATGCAATATTCTCAGACCAAATTTTTCAATGAAATTTTACATGATTTTTATTGAATATAAGAAAATCTGTGGTTAATTTATTATCTGATTTTCATCTGCGGCTTTCTTAAAAGAAATCAAGTATTACGTATACTTACATTTGTTACTGTTACGTTCTTATTTTTATTATCTGTTACATGATATCATAAAATAATAAAACAGATTCCATATATATAATTTCTTTATATATGCGTTAAGTTTTTATCTGAATTTTATCTGCGGCTTTCTTAAAAGAAATCGAATATTACTTATATATTTACATTCGTTACTATTATGTTCTTATTTTTATTATCTGTTATATGATATCATAGAATAATAAAACAGATTCCACATGTATTATTTCTTTATGCGTTAAGTTTTCCGTTTTATTTGCAATATTTATTGGAGTTATACAATTATAGTATTACAATATAGACTATCAGTTAGAAATTATAATTATTACAAATACTTTAATTAAAAAAAAATATTACTAATTTGTTTCAAAAACATACAATGATAATTCTATATGTTCAACAAAAAATCTCAAAAATATATAATTTAATGTAATCTAATAAAATTAAACATAGATATTTTATGAATCTTTAAAATAAAATAAACCTCATAGAGAATTAGCTTTGTTTCTTTATTAGTTTATCCCTGCATAAATAATTACCCTACACCAACGTTATTTATTTTATTTTATTATTCTACATTATAATTATGTTATAACTCGATCATTATATTCAAGTGCATTGTGCTTTCAACTTTTGTTAATTTTGCCAACTGTAAAATTTATGAATATATTATACTTAGATTTTGGATATTAATGTCTATAAAATTAATATTTAATATATCAATTTGTTTTATTTAAGAAATTAATTTTTGCGTCTATATACCTTATTTATATTTTATATTTTGTGACCAATCTTATACAGCTATGTAAGTACGAAGCAATACGTATAAACAACATCTATACTTACCAAGAAAATCGAACGTCCTTTCAATATCTATTAACTAAATTTATTTGACGTCTACGTTGAAACGGAAGTACTTGGTACATATACTCACAACTAGCTAACTACTTCCTGAGTTTGAGGACGAGATATGATCTTCGTCCATCGATTTCCAAGATGTAAGTGGCTTCGTGTGTAGTGATTGTATAGCATACGCCCTGCAGAGAATCGTCATTAGACAATGAAGGCCTATAATTCTGTTTGCGATACGTGGACTTTTACGGACACCTCGTAATAGTTTTAATTAATTCTCTGATTATCCCGGAGACGTTAGAGCATTCTTCCTTATATCACAAGTTGTATATATACCGGAGGTCCACCAGTGGAGAATTCAGTATCATCAGCAATATTTCTCGCAAGATGAAGACCATCGTAACGGTAACTAGAAGCTCAAGCACATTTTTATTCTCATCAGACCCAAATTCTATGAACATAATACATTTTATATCTCATATCACAATAGCTAAGAAACTTCTATTTTTTAAATTAACTTGTACCTATCGTGCAAACACACATTGGAAGAAATTTCATAACTTCATAGAATCTAAAAAAAAAAAACCTGTACAATTATTTCTTAAAGCTAGTTATTGTCGTATATTCTTATTGTCAATATTTTCATCGAAAATAAAAATAATTAAATAAGAGATTTATTTGTAGATCGTGCTTCTACTCGCTGTTGCGTCCGTGGTGGAGCTGAAATCGGAATCGAAGAAGCATAAGCGCGGAGTGGCGTTCTTCGGATCGCCCGATTTCTTTGGGATCGTGCCAGCCTTCGCTCCACCATGGGCTCCTACGGGCTTTGCTGCTTCAGCCTGGAATCCACCGATTGCCCCCGATGTAGCGCTCGCACAGGTCCAAGTTCAAGCCACTCACGATGTGGCGCTTCAGGTGCGCAACATTTATCACGCACTTTGCGTTATACATCATACGCATGATTTGAGGAAATACATTTGCTTATCAATTTCCATGACAGGCGTTGAAGGATCCGGCGCCCGGTACGCCCAGCATCGCGTACCCACCCGAGGTTCTGAGAGCGATACAGCAGGCAAAAGAGGCGAACCACAATGTTGCCGTGGCTCAGCACAAAGTTGCAGAGGCGAAGCAATCCGCGTTGATTCAGCAGAAAATTGCATTGGCAAAGGAAGCGGCGGCGAGGGAAGCTGCCGCAAGGTATATGACGAATAATTAATTCACTCTGATTTCCCGTTATTATATGTCTAACTGTTCCACCGCGGACCGTGACGTGTGGCATCCACTGGGCGCCTGTCTCTTTTACGCCGCGCACTTATTAGTATTTCCACTTTGTGCAGGTCGCATGAGATTTCGCAGTACGCCGACACTGAGGCTAAAGCCAGCGCTCGACAGCTCGTGGCACTGCAACAGAGATTAGCAACCCTAAAGGATGCTGTGGCAGCTGCACAAAGAGTAGCAGCGGCGAGGGAAACCGCCGCAGCTGCGGCAATCCAAAGAAACGCGGCTAACACCGCCGCGGAATTGCGAAAGCTGGATGTTGATAAGCAAATTAGTCAGACCGAGCAGGAAGCTAAGGTACTATTATAAAAATATGAATTTTTTTAATTATATTTCCCTATGAAAGAAGACAGAGTTGTTTCTCCGCTAATATGCACAAAGTTTGTATTGGAAAATTGTTAAGTATTATTGCGTCATTTGTTACAAGCTAATGACATTAATTTAATTTCAATATGTGTCTAATTTGAACAGGAAAGGGATGTATTAGCTGCGAAAGAAAACGCAATAGCAGCTGCGGTCCAGCAAGCGAGTCTACAGAAACCTGCTCACCATCCTTGGGGTTGAAAATCGTTTCGTAACATTATATATATTTGCACATATATCTATAATGGCATATATTATACACTTGTGGTGGCGGCACAACATAAAAGGGCATTTATAGTGTTAATAAAATAATTTTGTAATTGTTATATGAAAATATCACTTCATCAATAAAAGTTATATTCAGTTCATTTCGTGAGTTTTCTGTCAATTTTATTGTTCTCTGTCATTTTACGCATTTATTGAATTATTTATTTAATTTAATAACATGGTAATATGCATTTATCAATTTATCAAGTTTGTATGTTCTTATATTCGAAAAATGCTTTTGCTCCAATATATACTTTATGTATATCTCACTCTAATTTCTAATATATTAAATTATATATTAAATAATATCTATCTATTTGCATTTAAAGCAAAATTTTAATATATTTACTGTCATTTTTTAGAGCTTTTGAAATAATTTCGTTATTCAGAATAAAAGAAAATGTAACTTTATTAATTTTTGTTATAAAATATTTTTTTACAATATTTTATACACAAATTACAATTAAAATTAAAAATAAAATTGTTTTTGTTTTGTTAATTGCTTATAATAAAGACATTATTTAAGTTAATTAATAAATTTTTAATAAAATATTATCAACGGTTGGTAGAGCCACTTGTATTAGTAATTTTATTTTTGCAAGTTTTATAAATAAACTTGTAAAATATAGTTTACTCTTAGAGTTCGCATGTATCAGCATTTTAAAACTATTATTAATAATGGTATAGCTAAGAATTAGTATTACATTATTCTTAACGTTATCGTTACCGAAATCTTTTACTTGGTTTATCATCGGCTGGCAAAAGTACATACTATTTAGTTACAAAGAAGGTGAAGAAGTTTCTGTGGTAAACTAAATAAAGAAATCTGTATTTTAAGAAATCGCTTATTTTACTTCTGTTTTTATATTCTATTAATAATAAATTTTAGATTCTTTTATTACCTAATTTTATACTATTGTTTTCGCTAAATTGATTTTTTAAATAACTCATTTCTGTTCTGTTAATTGCAATTATTATAACTTTTTTCTTTAATTTTAATACCATAAAAATAGAATATGCTTCTAGAGAATGTATCATGATCCTTGCATTAATAATTAAGTAAAACTTATTAAATAATTTAAATAAATAGATATACTTTATTAAATTACGTCTATTTATCTGTAGTCATGATTTTTAAAAATCATTACTTTGCAAAAGAAGTCAATATGGATAGAGGAGTAACTGTGAAGTGTTAAGAAAGAAGCAACAATGACAAAAATATCGAACCATTAAGTCTTGGAAAGTATTGCGTTTTTCTGATAGAAACAATATATCTGGTACAATCATTAATTAACCAGGCATGTGCAGTTTCTTTGTCTGAAAATCTGAAGAATCCTCTGTTAACAAACGTACATCCTGAAAAACAGCGACGAGAGAAACCCTCGTTTATCACGATGAGAATCTTTCTCTTTCATTAAAACAGATTGCCATAAATTATCTAATCCTTGTGTCACATTCATCGATTGATTATTTATTATTTAACAAATATTATACATTACAGAATATAATTTGACAAATTACAATATTCAAAAATTTGGATTTAAACTCAAAGTCTTATGTCAAAGTATTTATATATGTGCATCTGTGCGTACATAACATATATATTAGTCAGAAAAATTATATGTATACTATATTAAAATAATTAAACATGTAACTAATCGGCATCTTGATGTTATTCTAAGCACAGAATGCTTGATTATATTTATCTACACAGAAATTTAACAAGTATTCAAATTTAAAACTATAGCTTATTTCACTCTTTAAAGCATTTCACGCTTCAGACCACAAATTTGCTTTTTAAATTTCCAATTCATTTCCACTGCCGAGATTGTCTCTTGTAGGAAGAAGAGAGTGAAAGTCCGGTAACCCTTCCGAGAGAATCGGCAAACAATGGGAGTGAGGTCAGAATGTTCAGTTACGTGAGACGTGACGCCGAGATCAAGTGCCAACGTCCTCTATTCCGCCATAAAGTATCTGGGCGTAGTCGTCAGCGCTAAATCTACGACCATGCACACTCGGCGAACGTAGAACCCGAGATCCTTTCACTCGCCTCTTCCTTTCTTAGTCATCCTGTCTCTTCCTCGCGTACCGTTACCCCTTACGCTACAGTCCTATTAACCAGACGCGGAAGAAAGTCGTTCGATCAAAGTCACTCTTTCTGCACTCCCTGGATTGCTATGCCCTCACCCTTGTCCATTTGTAAGGACAATAGATCATTTCTTTCAAAGTCCCGAAAAAGACTGGACCGTGCGGACAAAGTCCTTGGTGCAAATATGACTTGGCAGTATTAATGATGGTTTCGAAGAACCGGAAAAGAGAGACATGCAGCGTACTGAACGGAAACATGATGGACATGTCAGAGAGAAATTTATATTTATAACTTATCATTAATCCTGCCGGATCATATATATTCGAAATTAGAAATTAATACTGCCGGATGATACACACATATTCAAAATTAAAAATTATAAAATTTAAAAAATGAAATTATTTATACATTTTATACCTATTAAATCTCATATTGTATTTTTATCAAAATTTCTATTAATTAGATATTGAGTATTAAAAGATATAAATCAATGGATATACAAATTTTTTGTTTGACAATATGCAAAAAAAAGATACGAAATAACAATCTAAATAAATGTGTAATTATACACACCTATATTAATATTTATAATTATTATCAATTAAACTTATAATTATTAACAAGATATATAGCCGATAACAAGACGCATGTACGCAATAAATAACTGAATAAATTAAATAGTAAACTCGTTTGCAAAACCGTTATGCAGAGATATCGATGTTCAATATGTAAATATGTTTATTTTTTAAATATAAATTGCACCTAATTAAATGCGGTAGGCTGTCTCGAATACACAATTGTCCGTAAAATTAAAATTTGGATTAAAATGGCGTGGAAAGCGTCGCAGGTTTCTCTTGTTTACTTCGAGCAAGTGTTCACACGTTAAGAGCGATGATGATGCAGCTTGGAAGGCCACGCGACTTTTAGGCATCAATGAACACAGCAGCTCGATTATCGTTAAACGCAGTCAATCATCCGTTCTATACCGCCGCATTACCGCGGTAAACGCAATAATTCTCAGACGCTGCGCCCGCACCGCCTTTACAACGAGATCGAGAGATCCTTTCACACCGGATAATGCTCTCTTTGGTCGCGTCTTTTTCCGTCGCTTTTTTTCCATGAACTTCTCCTTCACCCAGTTTTATTTGCTTTCCTTTCTTACGCTCGCACATCAGCCACTCTCACTGGAATCTAGCTGTAACCTGATTTTTTAATATATCCCGTATTAGCGTACGGTCAGGCGATACTCCTGGCGCACGGTTATTAATGTCTCTAAATAAACGAACAAGGTTGGCATTATATGTTGCATATTTAAAATGACATGTAATTCAGTCTCAATCTCGATCTCGTGTAATGATATTATACTAATAATTTTACGTCAAAATGTAGCTTTCTTTCTTCTTTTAGGTTTCTTCCGTACGGCAAGATCACTCTGATAAACCTATCCTTCAAGTTTTAAGATTATACCTGTCTCACAGATTTCTTTTAGTATGTAGGGTAATGCGATAAATTTAGCGCCATAAATATATATATAGTAAATCCTTTCTACTGGTAAATAAGATCTAAAATAACTAATTTTGTTATGCGCGCAGGATATCTCGGGGGAGAGACCAAACGTATATTATAATATTATTCATTCCAAGATATCGGTTAACGATGCTTTCTCGTAGTTAAATCAAAGATTGACATAGTTACACTACAATAACATATATTACAAAACGTATATTAACTCCGTAATCACTCCAGTGGACAGGAATAATTTTTCCTTCGTTTGTATGTTGCGAAATAGAAGAATTTAAATGCATATCAGTGCGCAGAACTTTATTGCAGAAAATCAGTGTGCATTATAGATATTTCCATTTCACTGCACTGCGCGATAAACAAGAAGAACACATTTAACGAAAAGGAAATCACTTTCAATACTTTTGCTAGCACGTGTAAGATCAGTTCATGCGGGTTTTCAACGCGTTCGTTTGCCCATTCGTTATTTTCTTCATGTTAATTATCAGTACCTATATTAATCATCGCTTAGTAAAGATGAACCTGATTTGAACGTTAATGTTTTTACTACTTTGTAATATTATCAAATATAACGTTTGTTATTTTTTTGTACACTGTTGAATGTTAAAGGATGAAATTTAATACCATTTGAATTAAATAACATTTTGTTATTTTTAACTACCATATGTGTCGAAATTTATTATTTTAATACGAAACAGTATTATTTCAACTCCATTGGTTTAGTTTAATTAACATTATTTTAGTTAAATTAACGACGTATTGAATAGAAGCAGCGGCGACCTGTATAGGAATGACTCAAATTAAGTATTTGACTATGAATTTAACAGTGTACCAATAGCAAATGTCGTATATTGCAATAAATGCGGCGCCTCGATTGAGAATCGCTGGTAGCATCTCGCAGCATCGCATCAGCGTCACGATCAGATTAAAAACATGTTCTTACTTTGGTTGAATAGACTCGCAGTTTCGATCTAGTAATTCTAACTAGTAGGCTCGAGCTACATTCGTTTCCAATTTGCTAATCAGATATAAGTGCGTACATACGAGTTTCCACGGGAAACCATCAGCTATCCATCGGATGAACAGGGGAGGAGGGAGAAAGTGTCATGTATAAGAACGAACGGTCTATCGGAGTCAATCCGCAGTATCGTAGTCTCGTTCACGCTTGTATTCTCTTCTCGCGACGTGTTCTGAAAAATGATCCATCTACCCTCAGTAAGTAGAAAATAGAACGTATGTAGGGGTTCCGCGGACCGTGACGCGAGTCGCGTGGAAATCGCGGAAGCGGAGATTCGTGGCGCCCGGCCAGGTTCCTCGCCCGACTCCGCTCGCGAGGGAGTTCCGGTTTTACGACGAACAATGGACGATGGAAAGTGATCGTCGATATTTCTATACTTTCCGTACGCGATACAATATAACGCTGCATGCTCTCGTAGATTCCGGATATTTTGTGGAGCGCAAGAGCGATGATGTCGAGTCCGACGCGTCGCCAGCAGCACTTTTCTCGGAGAGAAGAAAGGGCATATTGACGAATGTTTTTCTAAGTGTCCGCTCGCGAATAATATAAGATGTTTCTTGCGTTTCGCTGCTTCGTTCACACATTCATGTCATCGAGTAGTTGTAATTGAGAATCTGTTCAGGAAAGAGATGATGTATTTAAATTTAAATTGCTCAAATCTTAGACAATTTAGAATTACTTAATGTCTCTCTCTCTAACCCGCAAAAATTGTTTTATTAATAAAATAGTATATTAATATATTAAAAATTAATTTACAAAAAAAAAACATATTTAAAATTTATTTTATTGACTTTCACTTTTATACATATTTATTAAAATTTTATAAGAATGCGAGCAATTATTTCATGTTCTTTATAGATAAAAAAAACAGAAGCATTGTTAATAAATAAAAATTTTTATAATTTATAAATTTTTTTTTTATATTTCTTTATAATAAAAATTCACGAGAAAATATGTCGTATTAAAAATTAAGATTATGATTAAAATAAAAAGTTATTAATTCTATTGTTCCAGGTACTCGCTCTATGTTTATTAATAATTAAAACAGCATTCGCTAATAGTTTCTCAGAGAGTGATTCTGGATGGGAGTAAGTAAGAGCAAAATGAATAAGAGATTTGATAGTCATATTCATTACTTCATAACGTTGTACGTTTCGTTGTGTTGCAACTTTTAATTACTGCTTTAATTTTGATAGACAATCTAATTTCGGATCCAGTGATCAAACGAATTACGATTCCAGTAGCCAGAACTTAAACATTCATCAAGATTTTTCTCCAGAATCACATTCCTTCTTCGGAAATGATGGCGATTTTCACATAGGCTCAGGATCTAAGGACAATAGTTATCAGCATACAATTACTCAACCTGTGTCGATCAGTGAGCATGTGGAAGTCACGAAGCCGGTGGCAGTGCCAGTTATAAAGAATATCGGTAAGATTTTGCAAACTGTGGCAATGAATTAAATAATAAGAAACGTTGAGTTGTTCTATAATACAAAGCTTTACACATACTTTCTCAAAAAGATTTAAATAATAATAATTTAATATTAATATTGTATTGTTTACTAAATTACTAACGTATTTAATAATAACCCTTGCTTATTAAAAGACACGGTAGTATCTCATGCCAAGTGCACAGCGATATGCATATATGTAGAATTCACGCGCACGTAAAATATAGCAACATATTTTGCAAGATTAGCAATACATATAACAAATTGGGATCAACTGTAATGTATGAACACGTTTTCTTCAAACAACGAAGTATTCTTTAAATATTTTAATATACAATCCGTTTTATTAATTAATAAATACAAATTAAATATTACAAATACTATTTTATAAGCAAGATAACTTTCGCCTAATTAATCAATTTCGTCAGTATATGAACAGTTTGCATTTTTATTTATTTGAAATATGTTATATCCTGTTAGTGATTATCGGACTTACAATTAGTAAAAATACAAAGAAAATATTAACTTTACAATGTTATTAGTGCACTAATAAATGACACACTTATCGAGAATTTAAGAATAAAGTATTTATCGAGATTTGTTTAGTATTATTTGTCGCATTTTCGGCGCGCCGAATTTTTCGCAATCTAGGTCAAGGCCAATTTAGAAAGTAGATCAATAATGTACAGCTGTTCGTCGAAAGTAGGTCAAGGCCATGTGTCGCTGGCTTGGCGCGAGAAAAAAAAAAGTCTTTCCTATCGTTTATCGCAAATATCTGGGAAACCACCCAAGATATAGAGATGATTCAAAAAGGATTATTTAGTTTATATTCTGCGATATTGGAATATCTCAATTTTGTTACTTTACAATTACGTTACAATTACGTCCTTCCGTTTATTTAACATGATAAAGCGCGCGCGTGCCGTAAAGATCGGGCGCCAAATGATTTCTAACTTTCATAAAACATAAAACGCTTATATCTCGGCAACCGTAAATGATAGAAAGATGATTAAAGAAAGACTTTGTACTTTATACTTTGCCCTATTGGAATTACTTAATTATATTACTCGCAATTATATACTTTTGTTTATTAAAGCAATAAAGTGCGCGCGCGCCGTAAAGATCGGACGCCAAATGATTTCTGATTTTCATAAAACGCTTATATCTCGGCAACCGTAAATAATAGAAAGATGATTAAAAAAAGACTTTGTACTTTATACTTTGCCCTAATATTGGAATTACTCAATTATATTACTCGCAATTATGTATTTTCGTTTATTAAAGCAATAAAGCGCGAGCTGGCCAAAAGAATCGTGCGACTCGCCATTCATCATTTTCATTAAACGCTACACCGATACGCGATACCGACTTAATATCTCGAGAAATACGTTTATTTTAATATCGTTATGTGTCCTTTAATGCGAAGCATACTCTTTCGAACATACAATATTAGACGATAAAGAGTTTTAGAATGCTGTTGCATAAAGTTAGCCAACGAGGAAAAGGAGCTA